CCCATGTCCCCCCTTCCCTTTGGTCATCACCGCACTGTTGTCTATGTCCATGGGCTATTCATATATGTTCTTTGGCTAATCCTTTCACTTTCTTCCATCCAGTCCCTCCTCCTGCCTCCCCTCTGACAGCTGTCAGTCTGTTCCATGCACCCAGTTTCTGTTTCTATTTTATTTGTCATTTTATTTTGTCCATTAGATTCCACATATAAGTGAGATCATATTTTTTTTTCTCTTTCTCTGACTGGCTTATTTCACTTAGCATAAAAAAACTCAGGGCCCATCTATGCTGTCGCAAAAGGTAAGAGTTCCTTTTCTTATGGTCGCATAGTATACCATTGTGTAAATGTAACACAGCTTTTTTCCCCACACATCTACTGATGGGCACTTGGACTGTTTCCAGATCTTGGCTATTGTAAATTGTGCTGCTATGAACATAGAGGTGCATATATTCTTTTAAATTTGTGTTTTGGGATTCTAAGGATATATTCCCAGAATTGAGATTGCTGGGTCAAAAGGCAGTTCCATTTTTAATTTTTTGAAGAAAACCCATACTATTTACAACAGTGCCTGAACCAGTCTGCATTCTCACCACTAGGGTTCTCATTTCTCCACATCCTCTCCAATATCTGTTGTTTGATTTATTGATGATAGCCATTCTGGCAGGTGTGAGGTGATATCTCATTGTAATTTTAATTTGCATCTCTCTTATGACTAGTGATGTTGAGCACTTTTTCTTATCTATTGGACATCTGTATGTCCTCTTTGGAGAAGCATCTATTCAAGTCCTTACTGTCAATCTCTCCATTTATGTCCATCAAGGTTTGCTTTACATGTTCAGGTGCTTCTATGCTGAATGCACAAATGTATGACAAAGTTATAGCCTCTTGTTGAATTGCTTTTTTTATCATTACATGGTGTCTTTCTTTGTCTCTTAAAACAGCCTTTGTTTTAAAGTTTACTTTGTCAGATATAAATATTGCTACCCCAGCTTTTTCCTCCATTTCTATTTGAATAAAATATCTTTTTCCATCCCTTTACTTTTAATCTGTGTGTATCTTTCATTCTGAAGTGTATCTTTGGTAGACACCATACACATGGGTCTTGCTTTTATATTCATTCAGCCACCTTATGTCCTTTGATTGAAGCATTTAAGCCATTGACCTGTAAAGTGATTATTAATAGGTATGTATTTATTGTAATTTTATTCTTTTAACTCTGTTCCTCCTCCTCCTCCTCCCCTCCTTCTTCTTCTTCTTCTTCTTCTCCTTCTTCTTCTTCTTCTTCTTCTTCTCCTTCTTCTCCTTCTTCTTCTTCTTCTTCTCCCCCTTCTCCTCCTCCTCTTCTTCTTCCTCCTCCTTCTCCTCTTTTTTAAAGCAAGCCATTTAACATTTCTTATAATATTGGCTTGGTTGTAATAAATTCCTTTAGCATTTATTTTTTGTATGGGAAGCTCCTTATTTATCTTTAAATTTTAAAGGATAGCCTTGCTGGATAAAGTAATCTTGGTTCTAGGTCCTTGCTTTTCATCACTTTGCATATTTATGCTAATCCCTCCTGGTCTAAAATGTTTCTGTTGATAAATCAGCTGACAGTCTTATTGGAGCTCCCTTGTAGGTAACTAAATGCTTTTCTCTTGTTGCTTTTAAGATTATCTCTTTGTCTTTAGACTTTATCATTTTAATTATGATGTGTCTTGGTGTGGGCCCCTTTGGGTTCATTTTGTTTGGGATCCCCTGTGCTTCCTGGAATTGTGTGTCTTTTTCCTTCACTAGATTTGGGATTTTGCAGGTCATTATTTATTCAAATAGGCTCTCTATCCCTTGGTTCCCCTTTCTCCTTCTGGTACTCCTATGATGTGGATGTTGTTATGCTACATGATGTACCAAAGGTACCTTAAACTGTCCTCATTGTTTTTAATTCTTTTTTCTGTTTGTTTCTGTGATTGGGTGTTTTTTTACCTTCCAACTCACTAATTCAATCCTCAGTTTCATGCAACCTACTTTTTATTTCTTCCAGTGTATTCTTGATGTCAGATATGGTATTCTTCATTTCTAACTGGTTCTTTTTCATGGTTTTTACATCACTTTTCATGTTGTTGTAGTTCTCACTAAGTTTCTTGAGCATCTTTATAATCACTTTTGAACTTTATAGATGATAAATTGCTTGCCTCCATTTCATTGAGTTCTTTTTCTGAAGAGTTCTCCAGTTCTTTCACTTGTGGTCTGTTTCTTTGTCTCCTCATTTTGGCTGCTATGACTCCCAGTCTTCATGGGATGGTCTTATGTATTAGGTGTCCTATGAGACCCAGTGGTGCAGTCTCCTTGATCTCTTGATCTGGGTGCTCTAAAAAATGTCCTTCATGTGGGTTATGTGGGGCATCTTGTTGTTACTGAGTCTTCATTGCTGCTGGCCTGTTAATGCATGGGAACAACCCTCAGGCTGGCTGACTATGAGGTTCAACCCCAACCATGAGATGCAAGCTGCAGTGCAGGCAGTGACCAAAAAAAAAAAAAAAAAAAAAAAAAAAAAAAA